GGTCCCAGCTACTTAGGAGGCTGAGGCAGGAGACTAGCTTGAGCCCAGGAGTTGGAGGTTGCTGTGAGCTATGATGCCACAGCACTCTACCCAGGGGGACAGCTTGAGGCTCTGTCTCAAAAATAATAATAATAATAAAAATGTCTGATAGGTATGTAAATATTTAACTAGAAAGCAGGTTTACAAAAAAACCAGATATTAAACTTGCTTATCAACTATGAAGACATTAATTTTAAGACCAGGTGCAGTGGCTGGCTCACACCTCATCCTAGCACCCTAAGGAACCAGCAGTTAGAATAAGAGTTTTACACTTCTTTCAAGGCGGCTTCATCATTTGAGCTCAGGAGGTCAAAACCAGCCTGACCAACAGCGAGACTCTATAAAAACAGAAAAACTAGGCTTGGCACCCTTAGGACAGTGGTTATGGTGCCAGCCACATACCCTGAGGCTGGCAGGTTAGAACCCAGCCCAGGCCAGCTAAAACAAAGACAACTGCAACAAAAAATAGCCAGGTGTTGTGGCAGACACTTGTAGTCCCAGCTACTTGGGAGGCTGAGGCAAGAGAATCACTTAAGCCCAAGAGGTGGAGGTTGCTGTGAGCTATGATGCCACAGGACTCTACTGGGGGTGACATAATGAGACACTGTCTCAAAAAAAAGAAAGAAAGAAAGAAATGACAACGGCTCAGTGCCATAGTTCAGCGGCTGGGGAGCAAGCCACATACACCAGAGCTGGCAGGTTGGAATCCAGCCCGGGTGTGCCAAATAACAACTACAACCAAAAAATAGCCAGGCAAGGTGGCAGGCACCTGAAATCCAAGCTACTTGGGAGGCTGAGGCAAGAGAATCACTTAAGCCTAAGAATCTGAGGTTGCTGTGAACTATGAGGTTACAGCACTCTACTAAGGTCAACATAGTCAGATTCTGACTCAGGGGAAAAAAAAAAGACATTAAAGTTAATTTTGATAATCCCTGTTGCTTTGAGAAGATAATGAAGTATTGACAATGAAATAATACATTATCTAGAATTGGTTTAAATACTACTATATTATTCTTCTCCTGACTTAGCCACCCAAGTAGCTGGGACTACAGGTGTGTGCTGCCACACCTGGCTAATTTTCTATTTTTTGTAGAAATGAGATCTCTCTCTTGTCCAGGCTAGTCTCACTCAAGTGATTCTCCCACCCTGGCTTCCCAAAGTGCTAGGAGTCACTGTGCCCAGCCATATTTTCTTCACTTTTAAGTACATTTAAAAACTTGTACAATTGGCTCAGCATCTGTGGCTCAAGTGGCTAAGATGCCAGCCATGTACAACAACCAAGGTGGTGGGTTCGAATCTAGCCCAGGCCCACCAAACAACAATGACGGCTGCAACCAAAAAATAGCCGGGCATTGTGGTGGGTGCCTGT